TTAGAAATGACGACTATGGCAAATTCAAATTTCAACGTGCGGCCATGTTGGGTCTGCAGTGTGACATGTACCATGTTGACCTCATTATGCATGTATTTCCGCGCCCACTTCATTATAATATGTGCTCATGAATATTTAATAGCAATGAATTTCCTGCAGAATAAACCAGTCAGGGTGATTTCGCGCTAACACCTCCATTTGGCGATTTTTTTTATTTTATTTAAACTACAAAAACGAATTAATCGCCCCGACTGCGCCAGTCTAAGGTACTACATGTGAACCACTTACAGATTTGTTCATTTCATGATGATATCTTCAATTCTCTAATTTTGCTTAATATTTTTGTCATTTTTGGTAAAAAGTGATATTTTGGACTTCTCGTTAAAAACTGCAAGTCAGATTGTTTTTATATTACATATACAGGTACTACATGTGGACCTCTTTCAGATTTGTTCATTTCATGATGATATCTTCAATTCTCTAATTTTGATGAATATTTTTGTCATTTTTGGTGAAAAGTGATATTTTTGAATTCTTGTTGAAAACAGCAAGTCCCATTGCTTTGATACTATACATATTGTTCATTTTCTAATGATATCTTCTGTTCTTTTATTGAAATGTGCATTGCTAACAGCAGAGCTATCTCAGCCGACTGGCTGCTTGTTTAATAATAATATATATTTGGGAAAAATATAATTGCTAAATAGGTTTCATTGTCATTGATACCACAGCATATTAATTCAATCTCTACATTTAATGCCTGCCTGTGTGTTCATAATTGTTCAAAAATTGTAACATTAAAAGAGAGAAATTTCATAAAGAAGTACATTTTGTATGCCAGCTACATGTAGATTACAGTAAGAAAGGCTGATAACTCTGATAGCTGATAGTTGTTGAGACTCTCCCAAACAGTGTATCCAAACATGTGCAACATGTATAAATTTGGTTGCTCAGGATTGATTCAAAGTTGAGTTTGTGTTGTTTTCCTTGGTTAATTTCACAGGCTCTTCGACTGGCATTCCACAGCAGCTTGTGCAGAGCCCATAAAAATTCCTGGTACAGTGCTGGCTGTCTTAGCAACGTAGAATCATTTGTGACATACATTTTTGTAGCTCTGTCCCCAAGGATAGTTGGAGGAGAGAGTACTAGATTCCCTGAGCTCAGATACATTCCTAATGTTAGCTTTGATGTTTTAAGGAGAATTATTGGACACTTACATCATGTATGTTCAGGCTACTATAGAAAAGTAAAAATTAGAGTATGTCTTGCAAACCTTAATGAATACATAGAATGAATTATACATACCCGGTACATTTATATACATCTCACTCTTGAACAAGAGTCAATACTATCAAGTTTAGTAAGTATATTCTCTGTACCATCACTGCATTGCACTGACCAATGACCATTCTAAGATTCTTGTGACTGCCGTCAAGTCTACATATTTCATGAGTTTTACATGTAGTACCTAGTAATAATCTTATTGTGAAACATATTTTGATCTGAATAAAAAAGTATCTGCACTGCGACAACCTCATTAATATACATTAGCTAATTTATATTCGTATACCTCATTAATAATAATATTCATGAGCAGTCATAACTCCTATTGGGTTGGTAAGATCCCTGATACATGTAGTTACTTTTAATTTTGTTGCTCTATACTGATACAATATATCAGTTCTAAAAATTCATTAAATATATATATATATATATATTATTTTTTGCGCTGTACTTTGCAGTTAATCTCCCAGAGTTCTAGATGCATGTCTATCGGAGGGCACATAAACCTCTGGCAGCGAAAACAATAAAGTGCCGCTTGGACTTGTAGAAAAGTGCTACATACTTGGTTGAATGTCTTCCTTATTTAGAAAATATGTGTCATATTTACATCACATACGAACACTTTAATGCAAACAATCCTGCAGGCACAAATTCTTGTTATCATCATGGGCTACTTTATCACATTACAAAATGAGTACAAGCAGGAAAAGATTATAATAGTAATAAGGTTATCTTGAGAATACAGCAAAGTATGCACTCAGGCAGTATTTTTATTACATCATTCTGTGCTATACATTGGTCAATATGGTATCTGTACTGTCTTTGTACATACTTTGCGGTGTTCTCGTAATAACCTTATATTATTAATATTCTAATATATTGACTAATATACCATAGTCTGATTGGTTGAAATCTTCCCAATTTGAAACAACCATGGTGAAAATTTGATAAATCATGGCAACTTGATTGTCTTGTATGTCATAGTGATCATTTTGTTACTATGTTTTATCTGTCATAATTGTTGTAATGTATGCACATGGTTTTCAATATGATAGCTGTAATTTGCTGTAATAATGCTAATTTGAAGTGATATCCTGTGTCATCCAGCCCTGCTGCTGCCTTCAGTGACATTATCAATTCCTAATTGGATACGTCTCTATTACATTGATACGGCTTGTCCAGTATACTTTTATCCAATATATATTTGACTGATTAACTGATGTTGAAAATATGGTCCTTGGCATTGGTTTTTACAACTCTTCATTAAAATGCCGTCAACCCAGGATTTATCATTCGGTCTACACGTTGATAACATGTTGAGAAGTCTCTGCAGTCACGCAACATGACATTGAAGCGTTTTCAAAACAACAAAGAAAAACCAATCAGTTGTGCACGTCCTGTTGTTATCAATAGTTGCAACTATAATGGGTACATTTTTGTTGTCAGCTTTACGAATATTCTTTTTTATTGACCTTGAAAGGAATCGGTTTGGTATATAAAAATAATATTCTGAAGCAGACATTGCCTTTGATGCCTCTGTGAAATGCAAGCCCTTTTGGTCATCGCATTTACGTGTTCATGTGCAGTAATTGGTTGGCAAGAACTCAAAGATAACAACTTATGGGCCGGTCACTGGTGGCATAGTGGTTGTAGCATCAGAATCATGATTGGTAGACCCATGTTCAAATCCTACCTAAGGCTGAACACCAAAAAGTGTTGACCCTTACCCTGGGTGAGTGTGCCACAGACTCAATGGGAAGGCCAATTCCACTGGCTGACATTCATTCACTAATGAATGCGACTTTGGGGGAACCTTGGTTAAGGTCCGCAGGTGCTTGTGTTCGACCGAGCCTAGTTGATGCCAGGATAGTGCATTAAATTGCCATTTAATAGAGAGATGGCCACACAGCCCTGTCATGTAGTCCCAAACATGAATATAATATGGCTTCCGTGGCAAAATGCACTATGTGTCAACACTAGCACTTGCAACTTGCACATACAAAAAAATAGTCGAGAGAGACAACAGTGACATTCAATGTCCAGAAAAACATTTAAAAAAAAAAATTTAAAAAATGTTATCGCAGTAGGGAAATAAATTATCATATGGCACCAAAAATGCTTTTTTAGGTGTTTTTTACAAATGCATAGAATAAACACCCAAACATTTTATCTCTCATATATTCATTTGTCATGACAAAGATTTTAATGAATTAAAAAATATGAAAAAAAATCGGCCCAAAACACCAAAGCTCATGGTTTATGTATTCCATCTAAATTTTAGCCTTTACAACCCTGCTATACTTCAAGACATTAATCTTGTATGGATTTGCTTTCAGAATGAGTATGATCTCTACATGGGTTCACTATTGGACAACCAATCATCACAATCCAGCCAAGTACTATACCAACAAGTCAAAAGTCTAGCTACCAGCGGTGCTGCTGCTACACGAGAAGTCGCTGCAGAAAGGCATCGAGTCAAGCATTTAGAAATGGAGGCAAAGAAATTGCTTAAAAAGAATGAGAGGTAGGGACATTTATTTTAGATGCCTATACATTTTGATTGAATGTTTAGATCATTATACATGTACCTTCACATTGACCATATGGAAGTTTCTCTTTGGCATATAGATCGGTTCGAGCATAACTTAACCGTGAACTCGCCTTCAATGGCTCAAATCTAGCTCTAGCTTGCTTTCAAAATTATTATAGATCTGAAATAATTATCTGAAATGATTGAATGATTGGCTTTACAGTTACCAGGTTGGAAGTAAAGTTGAGCTGTGACTGTATTGTATATTCTGTCTAATATATATTTCAGTCAGTTGCACTACATGTAGTACTAAGAGTACTAGTATGTTCATTACGCACATAGCCATTGACATGTGCATATGAAATGACTACACCAACGACTAACAATTTTGCAGTATTTCACTGTTTGAAGTCGTACATTTCCCTGTGATGCAGTGTTGTGATGTATTAATATATAAAGAACATATGAGCTAGAAATCAAACCGATTGTAGGCACTATAACTTGAAACTCTTCTATTATTTCCAGCTTGAGGGAGGAACTTGAGATTGAGAAAGACGGCCTCGCAAATGATCCACCACTAAAAGAAAAACCAAAAAAATCAATGAAAGTATACCAAGAGGAGAAAAAACCCAAAGACACAGCAGAGCAGATCGAGGCATTACATAATGCGATACTGGAACAGATAGATGTACTGAGACAAGTCAGAGACGAACTAAAGGAGAATTATGTTCCAAACTCTGTTTGTCAACAATTAGAACAGTGTGTCAAAGAAACTGAAGTCGAAATACAGAGAGTATTGAGTACAAATGATTACTTAGAAAGAGCTGTCGAGGTAAGTTGGTATATGGAACAAAAAAATCATATGAAAGTTTTATTCATGAATGGATGATCATTAACAGTGCTCCCCTGAGAGATGTTGTGATTTCAAAAACTTTGCATCAGGTGTATAAATACAAAAAAAAATGTTTCTCAGGGTGTTCAATTTCACTGAGAAATGTAATTGGTTCCACACGAATTGAACCGATATAAGGCATACATGTAGTCATGGTAACTCTTATACGAGCTTGAAATGTTTGTTGAGCTGAAACTTTCCAGCTTTTGCTTCTAGTTTTAATGCAGATGTCGAGTATGGACAATAAAATATTAAATGCACTAGCATCTCTGTGAATGGACCGGACCATGTGCTCTGTTTACAGTCAGTGGGTGGAATCTATGACATGAGCCACACAATCTATTTTAATTACAAAAATGTATATTTCAAACAAGCAAAATTCAGCTAAATGAATTAGACTCTTGGATTGTAAAGTTTTTGAATGTGAATACCTGTACTTGTTTTGATATTATATGTATATTGATATATACTTATATTTTTGCCATTTTTGGTAAAAAGTGATATTTTTTATCGCAAGTCTGATTTCTTTGATAAATATAGGTACCTTAGGTGGACCTCTCTCAGATTTGTTTTTATGATGATATCTTCAATTCTCTAATTGAAATGTGCATTGCTATTTCAGCCGAGAGACTGTTTTTTCAAATAGAACTTCTTTGTATAAGAGGCCACAGAGATCTGGTTGAGTGGACAGAGCCAAATGACTGGTTTTTGCTCTCCGAATAATGTTCCATTTATTAATGTCATCACATCTAATGTCCCCCTTGCCATGGCAATGATGGTAATTGGAATCAGGGTAGAGAATAGACTGGCGCAGTCGGAGCGATTAAAAAAATCGCGAAATGGAGGTGTTAGCGCGAAATCCCCTGTAACTGCGAAATAACCCTGACTGGTTTTTTCTGCATGGCCCTCTACAGACACTGCAGGAACCCGTCGATTTTTCAACAGGTAATTATGTTAATGAGTGTTCTAATTGACAATCATCTAAGCTAATCACAATGTCTCTTCAGCTGATCTCTGACCGCGAAGACGTCGGCTGATTGTAGCACCTGTTTTTTTTTTATTCTACGACTAGTACGAGTTACTTTTTTTACACATTGTGATGAATTAGAAACGACGACTACGACAAACTCGAATTTCAACGTGCCGCCATGTTGGGTCTACAGTGTGATCTTTACCATGTTGACCTCATTATGCACGTATTTCCGCGCCCACCTCATTATAATATGTGCACCATGAATATTTAAAAGCAATGAATTTCCTTCAGAGTAAACCAGTCGGAGTGATTTTGCAGGTACAGGAGATTTTGTGCTAACACCTCCATTTCGCAATTTTTTTTATTTTATTTAAACAACAAAAACAAATTAATCGCCCGACTGCGCCAGTCTAGGTAGAGAATGGAACAGTATTTATAGGAGCAAAAACAATCTCAATCAGAAGATCTTGGTAGTTATTTGCAAATAATTGACACTGAGTAATATTGTCAGCCTTTTTAGTCCCCGTTCGGACGTAGTCCGAAAACGGGAACTTATGTTTTGACCTCCGTGTGTCCGTGCGTGCATGTGTGCATGTGTGCATGCGTCTGTGCGTGCGTCCAAACCTGCATCTTAGAAATGCCTGGACCAATCACAATCAAACTTCACACATACATCATACATGAAATTATACATATGCACGTCAATTTGTTTCACGATCTGATTTAAGATTTTTGTGCTAAAAATCATCAAAATCAAGCATTTCTCGGCTGTTTACAGATGGGTTTTGTTCAAACCTTGTATATACGTTAGACATTATAGGAACTTGATGCAAATAATTTTGTTTTAATTTTGCCATTTTGTTTTAATGAATGTGGTTCTCGTGCCATAACTCTGACTTGCTTTCACTGATTATGTTCAAATTTTAAATATTCATTATACATCATGTCATAGATTGACAGATATATTGGTTTGACGATCCTATTCAAAATGGCCAAATGGTTGCCATTTTTGTGCAAAAAAATCATCAAATATCAAGCATTTCTGGCATTTATGGATGGATTTCTTTCAAACTTGGTACATATTTTAGACATTACAGGTTCCTCCTGCACATCATTTAATTTTCAGATGGGATTCAAAATGGCTGTCTGGCGGCCATATTGTTTTAATGAATGGGCTTCTAGGCCCATATCTCTGACTTGTTTTGACTGATTATGTTCAAATTTTAAATATTCATTATACATCATGTCATAGATAAACAGATATATTGGTTTGACGTTCCTATTCAAAATGGCCGAATGGTGGTCATTTTTGTGCTAAAAAAATCATGAAATATCAAGCATTTCTGGCATTTATGGATGGATTTCGTTCAAACTTGGTAGATACATTAGACATTACAGATTCCTGATGCACGTCATTTTTTTTTTCTCAGATTGGATTTAAAATGGCTGACTGGTGGCCATTTTATTTTAATGATTGGGCTTCATATCTCTTAAATGCTTTGACTGATTATATTCAAATTTTATATATTCGTTATACATCATGTTATATATATATATATACATGTATTCAAAATGGCTGATTTTGAATGCTGTTCCAGAGCAATATATCTCAATATGGACAAGTACTTTTTTGATGATCAGATACAAATGTCAATCATTTTAATGTTAAAAAATCATATTCCTGACATGGTTATATTCCAGCTATATTACTATAAACAAAACTATATATCTTAAATTTGATAACTAACGGGGACTGTGCCATGCATGGCTTGTCTTTATAAATTATTTGTCATAGATGGATGAGTTCATTCAAGATCAGCCAGCACTTGTGTTGAAGGTAATTCACAGAACTATGGAGCCTTGACTATGCATTAGATCAGCAATCATTATTAGTCTGTCTCCTTTTTATAAGATATCTTGTTTTGTTCGCAGACAGATTTTTTATGCTATCAGCATGTGTCCCAGAAGGACAAAATGAACCGTTAATGTCAGCGTTTATGTCACTGCTGTCACGTTTAGTTTACAACTCATTGGGTTGTGTAATGACATGTCACTCTTTAAAGGTGACTATTATGTGGAGGTGAATGCGAGATGCATTCTGTTTCCCATCCCAATCACTGACTTTCATATTTGATAAATATCTGGATTCCCAGTTGGAGATCTGAAGCAAAAGCAGTGTGAAATCTGTAATTATGAAAGGTGTGCAGCTCGGCAGTTTTTGCCTGCCTCTTGTGTAATGGAAGGTATTATACATGTATGTACATAGTTGAACAAATTCTGTTGTTATCTTTATTGTTTTTTGGCATGTGTTCTATCCCCCTCCCCCAAATCTGACAGTTTCTGTTATTTTTAGCTCTGCTGTTGACTTCGTTGAGTGGAGCTAGTCATACTGTCATCATTATCATCGGTATTTTGCATTGTCTTTTTACATTTTTGACTTCTTACTGAAAAGTGCAAGTCTGATTGGTTTTTAACTTTGTAACTCATTTGTTCATTTCATGCAGATATCTTTAATTCTAAAATTTTTGGCAAAAAGTGATATTTTCATCTTTTGGAAAACAGCAAGTATGATTGCTTTGATACTTACATACCTAGGTACCTGTACCTAAGGTGGAGCTTTGTCAGATTTGTTTCTTTTGTAATATTTTTATCATTTTTAATAATTTTCTACATTTTATACATTTTGAGTGGATCTCATTTTTGTTCATTTTGTGTTGATACCTTCAATTCTTAAATTTTAGTCAATATTTCTGTCAACTTTGCTATTGTTGACTACTTATTGAAAATTGCTTGCCTGATTAGCTTGATATTTTATATATGAGCGAGCCTTGGGAGGACTTTTCACGGTTGAGGATTTTCATAAGGATAATTTAAAATTGAAAATTTCCAATTTTAGTAAATATTTTTTATTTTTGTAAGGCTGCCTGTTCTTTATATTCAATGGACCAAACATACAAGCTGTGATTGGTCAGATTCTACAAACTATGATTGATCAGATTCTACAAACTGTGATTGGTCAGATTCTACAAACTGTGATTGGTCAGATTCTACAAACTGTGATTGGTCAGATTAAACAAACTGTGATTGGTCAGATTCTACAAACTGTGATTGGTCAGATTCTACAAACTGTGATTAGTCAGATTAAACAAACTGTGATTGGTCAGATTCTACAAACTGTGATTGGTCAGATTCTACAAACTGTGATTGGTCAGATTAAACAAACTGTGATTGGTCAGATTCTACAAACTGTGATTGGTCAGATTCTACAAACTGTGATTAGTCAGATTAAACAAACTGTGATTGGTCAGATTCTACAAACTGTGATTGGTCAGATTCTACAAACTGTGATTGGTCAGATTAAACAAACTGTGATTGGTGAGATCATACGAAATGTAATTGATCAGATTATACATATTGTATAATTAAATTGAGAACTGGATTTTTTGTTCTTCTTTGTCAGCTCTCCTATAGTTGTTCTGTGTTAGTTCAAGTCCATGCGTACCTACACAAATACATTTTTTAAATACACTTTTTAAAAATCAAGTTTATTGTCCACTTGTGTGCATTTTTGGACATTATCAATCTGCATTTGGTTTGCCATGTAATCCCATGTACATGATTCGGTTGTGATATTAGGCTGATACCAATTTACAACCCTTTAAAAAGCGCAGTTCAGTGAAGCACAATCATCTTTGTATTTTAACTACACCAGTAACAGTTAAAGAAACAACATGTAAGGCTGCCCATTTAGAGAGTACACCCTAAATCCACTCTCAGTCTGTGCACGTGTATAGTGTGTGCCCAGCATACAAATATAGATTGAATTCAAATTCTACTTTCTTGTCTTTTTATAGCAACTTGAGCATGAATTAGAAAAGCTTTTGGAGAAATCAAGAGCTGATGAGAATGAGAAAAGGTAAGCCTGGTTGATTAATTAATTTAAAGTTTTATGAACGATGGGTGACAACTAAGTTTCAGTATTTAGGGTTTAATTGTTGACTGCATGTTTGACTGAATTTATTGCATCGAGTGAAGTCATGTTTGTAAAATATATTATCGGTATTAAATCACTAAATATTTCATTCACATTTAAAGCCCTGGGAATGCTTGAAGGTAATAGCTGTTGATTGCATGATAAATTATTAACATTACTTTTAATGCTCCATTGCAATGCCTATTTACTGCCTTTACTCTCAAAGCACCTATTAACATTTTCAATCAGTGTTTCATTTATTACCCACAATTCCATACTTGGATTTATCAAACATCAGTTATAAGTTAAGTGGATCATATTAAGACGTATAACGGTCATACATGAATAATAGACCATTTTCCGTTCACTGCGAGAATCACACGTTATGCGTGCAATCGAACGTAAAAACAGGACAAACAAAAGTCATAGCGTCATAGTGGCGTCAAACATCGCGTGGGATTCAACAAACTTAAAATACGAAATAAAGAAATTTGAGTTGAAAATCAAATCGTTCGATTTTTACAGCAGACGTTCGACGCGCGTCTTTCATGCATTTCGCGAGATCTCGCAACTGTACGGAAAATCACCTATTTACAGATATCATTATTCATATGGTGTGCTGGTTTACATTTCAGAGAAGTATATACTATTTTCTGATGCTTTGTGAAAAGATTTGCTATAGTTGTAATTATACATCTTCAAATGTGAAATACCCCCCCCCCCCCCCCCCCAACAAAAACATGTGCAATGAACCAAACTTTGAAGAAAAAAATCCACAAGCTTATCATCCTGGTTACCAAGATTTATAAATGGTGGAAAAGACAAAACACAAGCTGTTCAGTAACAATAAAAATTGAACTTTTTTTGATAATAAATTGAAGAACAAGATAAAACATTTTATCATTTCATTACAATTCACATATACATTGTATACTCTCAAGCAAACATCCCAACATAATTAAAGAACTTGCCAATTATATTTACACAACACAATAATTTATTTAACATTTAAATACTATAGTTACATACTTTTAATAATATTTTACATATATCTTGTTATTATTTTAAAACTCTTTTTTGCTGTACTTATCCTATGTAAATCTTTTTACACGGAGGCAATAAAGTTATTATTATTATCACGTGAGAACTCCTATGCATTCACTTTGAACCTATTCTTGCAGATCACATACAATATTTATAGAACTGATACAATTTTCTGGTCATCCAGTAGATTTTAAGTCTTGTTGTAGATATTACATGTTTATTCCAACATTGAACTTGGACTAAGGCTCAATACAATACCGTATCTTAACATGGTATCGCTCATATTAGCAGACTGCACATTGCAAAATGAATTTCCGGTTTGTAATATTTCTATTTGTTTTCTTACAGGAAACTTCTCAAGAAGCTGAAGCTTATATCAGACAGTTCTACAGATGCCTCAGAGTCAGAGTCATGCCATGATTCGTCGACCTAATATTTGGATCTGCAAAATTGCACTAGCTGGCACAATGGTGTCAGAGTACACCATGAGAAGAGGGACCCCTCTCTCATTAATCATTTCCACATATAGTTGCACACTGTGTTGTGGGTGATGACTTTTGAACTGATGATGAACTACGTGTCAATATGATGAGCATCACTCATTTTTTTAATGGACTTATAACTCTAGCTGACAATGACTCGCTGAAATGATGTTACAGGAGTAAAACAAAATGTGGATATGGAATATGCCAAGTAAATATTTATATATAAACGGACAGACTTCCATGCTACCTTCAAAATCAGTGGCTCTTTGTACATGTATATGTAGATCAGCATTAAGTTATTTCTAGGGATAAATTGAGGTGTTATATATCGACTTTATACATCTCATAGATTTGGCTGAATATTCAAGTAGGCTCACTTTTACATTGTTCTTAAGGTAGAGATATGAGAAAGTCGTGTTTTAATTATATTTTAATGCGTTTTGAGTCTGCAAAATAAGAGTTTGCAGTCATTCTTAGGTGAATGAATTGTGCACCTAATTTCCCATAACTTACAGGTTAAGTAGTCTAAGAAATTGTTTTTATTTACTCCTATGTGTGAAGCACACATTGGTTGTCATTGTGGTTACCCTGTTTGTGTGTCTGTATGACTGTTCCACCATTATCTCAAGTAGCAATCATCGCATTTCAATGAAACTTGGTATGATGTTCTGGAAAACAGATAGACCTGATTAGTTTGGGGTTAAAATCTGTGTATACTAATTATCTAATTTGCATAATAATTAGTCAATTTTCAGCTTTTCTACTAATATCTCATTTTTTTTAACCAGTAATTACCACCACAAGTCTATGCTGATGTCAACCTAAAATAACGTGAGATTATATGTTTATCACATACATATTTCCACAATATGACATAGTGAAACAAGGGAGTGTTCACTGTGGAATTATTGCTGAAATAACACCAATACAAATAGATAGCACTGCCTTTGTTGACACTACAGTGTTCTATTTCACACAAACGTCAGGCTTACAATGTCTGATTCAATTGTGATATTAATTATTATTATTATGTTTCAACCCCCAAAAAAGAGCTGAATAATAAAATTCTAAAAATACACACGTGAGATTGCCAAAATGAACCATTGTTATTTTACCATATATATCCCCGAAGAACGTTCAGGTACTGCATGCAATGAAAAAAGTTCGGCAATATGTGACGTCACATTCTGGTGATTTGGGTTTTTAATCTGTCCTGTCTTATGTCACACTGTGGTGATACGAGAGTTACGCATGCGATAAATTGCTGTAGTCCCGTGTTTAGGAAATTATTGATGTCTTGAATTGTAAACTAGTTATTATAAATTTTTTTCTCTGTCTCTACCTTAAGTAGATTTTAATACCAATTACACTTGTCAACAGTATTTCTAATTAATTATCCTGAGACAGTATTTCAAGATTATTATATTAATATAAAAATTGTACATATTTCTGTATTCTATATTTCTAATGGCTTAATTGCAATAAAATTAGTGAAAAAAAAATAAATTGAATAATAACTTATAGTTTTCAGAGCCTAAGAATACCAGTAATGAATTGTTGTTCACTATGAGTCGTGTACTTTACATACAATGTTGTAAAATGAACTACATGTGGTCACTGTGTATTTTTTTTTTAATTTATTTATTCATTTCGGAGTGTCTTGTTGACCAGACTCCACCCAGGTGGGCTGATGCACTGGGTATTTTCATTGTATATACATGTCACACATTTAAAAACTTTGGGGGAAATTAGGGACACCATATCAGAAAAAATACAGCAGGATTTAAAGGGCGGTAGTCGTCACGGCGCGCATGCGCGAGATATATGGGTCTCGTATAAATAAATATGGCGACTTTGACTGTTGTGCAGATCCACGAGTACAAACTGACTGAGACATTACCAACTTTAATTAGGTATTTTTTAAGTGGCCGGAAAGTATGGAAGGAGTCACCGGTGATAATTAATGCAAGTCACGCCAAGGTCAAACCTTGGTAATGTGATTTCCATTAGAAGAGAGCATTTGGATTGTGGGACAATAAATGTTTATCAACACAAACGTCGCACATGCACAGCGTGATGACTGTCGCTCTTTAAATGCTATGCTTTAGTTCTAGACCCCCCTCTCAAAGCAGTGTATTGTTTCAATGTTCCCATCACATTGAAATATTGTGAGGAATGTGGAGGTGATACAGAACGGGTTAATTTGAATACAAACGCCTGTCAATGTTATCACTGTGAAGTGAAAACAAACATGTTTCTCATGTAAAATCCGGAAATAATTCTGTATCCACCCTTTTCTTGGAATTTTAGTTAAAGTATGCCCTCTATGGCAATAATTACACGTGATACAATGTCCTTTTATTTTTTGACAGGGTCCAATTAAGCTGCTTTTGCATGAATACTACAAATACACTATAGTTACTATCTTACATCTGCAATAGAGGCGCATACAAGCCAGTAATACAGTGTTTATTCATATGATACAGATGTCAAGTTGTTTTGTTAAACAGTACATGTGCATAATTTGTCAAAGATTTCTATCTCAATGGACAGCCAAATGTTTGAAAATGTTAATGGCTTTATTTAATGAACAATTGTGTGAAATTTTGGGTTGAGTTTGAAGTTGACTGGATTTTGTATTCTAGCCATTAGCAGGACAATTAAAAACAAAGGAATGCATCATACTTGACAGAGGGCAGACATGTACAAACAAAACATTGTTAACCCTTCTGTTAGTGAAGCCTGGGTAACTATAGCCTAAATTCATTGTTTTATAGTATTTCATTTATAGAATAGGTAATACTATTTATCTACCACTTCACTAGAATTGTTTTTTATCTGTTCTAAATATATAAATAAATACTATTTGATGGTGCAATAAAACATTGCTGTTGATTCTAATAGTGTGTACATGCTTTAAGGTTGGTATACTTTGTCCGATTTATCTGTGATTCAGATTGTGTCTGATCAGATTTTGACATGTTCAATTTTATCAGATTAATCTTGATGAAATTGCATGAGATAAATAAACATCTATTCTTACATCAGATAATTTAGATTGTGTGAACCAGATTTTGGGAATTAAAATCTACCTAGAGCAGCTTTTTGACAAATTCTCCATTGCTGGGCTTATTGTATCTAAGCGCTGACATTTTTAGTTACAAATGTATTACAGAAATATATTACTAGAAGCAACGCCCCTGCTTGGTTTTGAACTTACAACTGAAGGCTAGCATCTTGTCTTTTGATCTACCAAGAATTCAATGACATTAGCCAGATTGTAAATCTTGTCAGGTTCGAAGCGTATTTAGTTTGATTATGCAGTGTAACATCAACCAGCAACGACTTGTGTGTAGATGTTACATACAAAGCACAAACATGCACAAACACCTAAACATAATTGGCCAGTACAAACTACAGGTATGGTTGATGTATTGTTAGTCAAATAAAGTAGTGTATTCTTTCATATATTTGACTTCCATTCAGACCTGCAGCTCTAATGTTGTTCAAATGTCAACAAATACACTCCCGTCAACATAAAATCAGTTCTGTGAAAAAACACCCATACATTGTACCTGGGAGTGAATTTTAATCTGGGGCACACCATTCCTTAGATGCTTGTGTGGCAGTTTTTGGGCTGCACACAACACACCCGATGCTCTTTTGTTAAATCCTTTCGATCTACAGCCTACATTTATATGACAAAAAAAACAAAACAAGCAGCCTATCGGCTGAGATAGCTCTGCTGTTAGAAATGCACATTTCAATTAAAGAACTGAAGACATCATCAGAAAATGAACAATATGTATAGTATCAAAGCAATCGGACTTACAGTTTTTAACAAGAAGTCGAAAATATCACTTTCTACCAAAAATGACCAAAATATTCACCAAAATTAGAGAATTGAAGATATCATCACGAAATGAACAAATCTGAGAAAGGTCTACATGTAGTATCTATATATGTAATATCAAAGCAATTGAACTTTTGGTTTTTAACAAGAAGTCGAAAATATCACTTTTTACCAAATATGACAAAAATATTCACCAAAATTATAGAATCCAAGATATCATCACGAAATGAACAAATCTGAGAAAGGTCTACACGTAGTATCTAAATATGTAATATCAAAGCAATTCAACTATTGGTTTTTAACAAGAAGTCGAAAATATCACTTTTTATCAAAAATTACAAAAATATTCACGAAAATTAGAGAATTGAAGACATCATCACAAAATGAACAAATCTGAGAGAGGTCCACATGTAGTACCTATATATGTAATATCAAAGCAATCGGACTTGTGGTTTTTAACAAGAAGTCAAAAATATCACTTTTTACCAAAAATTACAAAAATATTCACCAAAATTAGAGAATTGAAGATATCATCACAAAATGAACAAATCTGAGAGAGGTCCACATGTAGTACCTATATATGTAGTATCAAAGCAATTGGACTTGCGGTTTTTAACAAGAAGTCGAAAATATAACTTTTTACCAAAAATTACAAAAATATTCACGAAAATTAGAGAATTGAAGATATCATCACAAAATGAACAAATCTGAGAGAGGTCCACATGTAGTACCTATATATGTAATATCAAAGCAATCGGACTTGTGGTTTTAACAAGAAGTCGAAAATATCACTTTTTACCAAAAATACAAAAATATTCACCAAAATTAGAGAATTGAAGATATCATTACAAAATGAACAAATCTGAGAGAGGTCGACATGTAGTACCTATATATGTAAATATCAAAGCAATTGGACTTGCGGTTTTCAACAAGAAGTCGAAAATATCACTTTTTACCAAAAATGACAAAAATATTCACCAAAATTAGAGAATTAAAGATATCATTACAAAATGAACAAATCTGAGAGAGGTCCACATGTAGTACCTATATATGTAATATCAAAGCAATTGCACTTGCGGTTTTCAACAAGAAGTC